CACCTGGGCACACCTGGGCACACCTGGGGCACATGGGAATGTACCTGCACACACCTGGGCACACCTGGGGCACCTGGGGAGAGCTGGGGAGAGATGGGCACACACCTGGGCACACCTGGGCACACCTGGGGGCACCTGGGCACAGCTGGGCACACATGAGCCTCAACTGAGCCTTACCTGTGCTCACCTGGGCACACCTGGGGAACACCTGGTGGCACCTGGGCACACCTGTGCTCACCTGAGCCTCACCCGGGCCTCACCTGAGCCCCTCAGTCCCCAGTTTCCACCTGTCCCAGGTGTTTCATCCAGCTGGGGCGGGGTTCGGGGCGGTGGGCGTGGCTCTCACCTGTGCCCACCTGCGCTCACCTGTGCTCACCTGTGCCCACCTGCGCAGTTCCCCTCGGTGTCGCTGGCCTACGAGCGCGCCGAGAGCGACATCATGCACCTGCGGCCGCGCAACCCCCGGCGCGACCGATTGGTCAACGAGCCCCTGGCCGCCTACTCCTACTTCCAGATAGGTGAGGGGCGGGGCCAGGGGTGCGCACCTGGGCGGGGCACCTGGGCGGGGCACCTGTGTGCTCACACACCTGGGTTTGGGGGCACCAATGTGGATACACACCTGGATCTGGGGTTACCTGTGTGCACACCTGGGCTGGGGTCACCTGGGCTGGGGTTACCTGGGCTGGGGTTACCTGTGTGCTCACACACCTGGGTTTGGGGGCACCTGGGTCTGGGGTCACCTGGGAGCTCACACACCTGGATTTGAGTTACCTGTGTGCTCACCTGGGCGGGGCACCTGGGAACTCACTCACCTGGGTCTGGGGTCACCTGGGAGCTCACACACCTGGGCTGGGGCCACCTGTGTGCTCACACACCTGGATTTGAGGTCACCTGGGTCTGGGGTCACCTGGCAGCTTACGCACCTGGGCTGGGGTTACCTGTGTGCTCACACACCTGGGCTGGGGTCACCTGTGTGCTCACACACCTGGGTTTGGGGGCACCTGGGTCTGGGGTCACCTGGGAGCTCACACACCTGGATTTGAGTTACCTGTGTGCTCACCTGGGCGGGGCACCTGGGAACTCACTCACCTGGGTCTGGGGTCACCTGGGAGCTCACACACCTGGGCTGGGGCCACCTGTGTGCTCACACACCTGGATTTGAGGTCACCTGGGTCTGGGGTCACCTGGGATTGGGGTCACCTGGCAGCTTACACACCTGGGCTGGGGTTACCTGTGTGCTCACACACCTGGGTTTGTGTCACCTGTGTGCGCACCTGGATTTGAGGTCACCTGGGTCTGGGGTCACCTGGGAGCTCACACACCTGGGCTGGTGTTATCTGTGTGGATACACACCTGGATCCAGGGTTACCTGTGTGCACACCTAGGCTGGAGTTACCTGTGTGGATACACACCTGGATCCAGGGTTACCTGTGTGCACACCTGGCCTGGGCTTACCTGGGAGCTCACGCACCTGGGTTTGGGGTTACCTGTGTGCTCAAACACCTGGGGTCTCACCTGTGACCTCACCTGTCCCTCACCTGTCTGCCGGTGTGATCCCACACCCGTCCCCCCTTTACCTGTCTGAAGGTGTGGTCCTGTCCATCCCTCACCTGTCCATCCCTCACCTGTCCAGGTGTAACCCCTCACTTTTCCCAGGAGTAACCCCTCACCTGTGCCAGGTGTGACCCCTCACCTGTGCCAGGTGTAAACTCTCACCTGTGTGCGGTCACACAGCTCACAGGTGTGACCCCTCACCTGTGTGCAGTCACACAGCTCACCTGTGCACCCCTCACCTGTGCAGGTGCGATCCAGTCCTTCGCGGGGTTCACGGACTATTTCGTGGCCATGGCGCAGGAGGGCTGGTGTCCATCCCCACCTGTCCATCCCCCAGGTGTAACCCCTCACAGGTGTGACCCCTCACCTGTGCAGGTGTTAACCCCTCACCTGTGCAGGTGCGATCCAGTCCTTTGCGGGGTTCACGGACTATTTCGTGGCCATGGCGCAGGAGGGCTGGTGTCCATCCCCACCTGTCCATCCCCCCTGTGCAGGTGTAACCCCTCACCTGTTCAGGTGTAACCCCTCACCTGTTCAGGTGTAATCTTTCACCTGTGCAGGTGCGATCCAGTCCTTCGCGGGGTTCACGGACTATTTCGTGGCCATGGCGCAGGAGGGCTGGTGTCCATCCCCACCTGTCCATCCCCCCTGTGCAGGTGTAACCCCTCACCTGTTCAGGTGTAATCTTTCACCTGTGCAGGTGCGATCCAGTCCTTCGCGGGGTTCACGGACTATTTCGTGGCCATGGCGCAGGAGGGCTGGTGGCCGCTGCTGGTGCTGGGGCTGCGGCCGCGCTGGGAGGACGCGCACGAGCAGGAGCTGCAGGACAGCTACGGCCAGCAGTGGGTGCGTGGGCACACCTGGGGCACCTGGGCACACCTGGGGCACCTGGGCGCACCTGGGCACACCTGGGCTCACGGGGGCTCACCTGGGGGCTCACTGGGCGCACCTGGGCACACCTGGGCCCACCTGGGCACACCTGGGGGCTCACCTGGGCTCACCTGGGCACACCTGGGGGCTCACCTGGGGCCTCACCTGGGCACACCTGGGCACACCTGGGGCTCACGGGGGCTCACCTGGGGGCTCACTGGGCTCACCTGGGCACACCTGGGCACACCTGGGCACACCTGGGGGCTCACCTGGGGGGGGAAACAGCGAAAAAACGGGGAAAAACGGGGTAAAAATGGGTTAAAAACGGGGATTTTGGGCACAGCCCCCTTGGAGCAGGGGGTGGAGCTTCCTGGAGCCCGAGGGAGAGGTACCTGCTCACCTGGGCACACCTGGGCAC